CCAAGTTACCGTTTTCCCAACGAGGCTGGCAAACGAAAGTCGCCGAGGATGGGCCGAAAGGGAAAGGATGAAAGGGTACCCTTGGGAAGGTTGCCCAGCCTTGCTATGCGGGCTGACTGCACGTTTCCCCGACCAGAAAAGCCGCACTGGTCGGCCACACGCGAGAAGCGACCATAAGGAAGCATGATCTTTGGTGCGCAGCTCTTTGGGGGACCGCGGCGGGGGTCGGACACGCGCGCGCAGGACGCCCTTCTACCGCATCGCGCTTGGCGATGGGGGTACCCCAGTGTGGAGCTTCCTGGACCGCTCGCTCATTCTGGGGACCTTGCTGGAGTCACTCGTTCCACTCGTGCGTCGAAGCTGAGTCGAGCGTCCGCCGCCTCGAGTCGACCTTGCGTCAAACCTGAGTCGAGCCTGAAGCGAACTCGAGTCGAACTGGAGCCGAAGCTGAGTCGAACAGATCCGTTAGGTGGGCCCCAGGAGGGCTCCCCAAACGAGCATCTGAGCAGTGGGCCCGCACCAAAGGCCACTCCGGCGAAAGGCCACTCTCTCAGTAAGAACGGTTTTTGAAGGCAGATCTGCCTTCAATAAGAACGGTTTTTTGAAGGCAGATCTGCCTTCAAAAAACCGTTCTTACAGAGTCGACCAAGCTCCAGGCGGGAGAGCGGCGCGCGGGGGCCGGCTGCTGGCTGATGCAGCGCACGCACTTCCGGCCCGCCTCCGCGCCGGGTGTGGGCGGCGGAGGGGAAGGGGGGGGGGGGGCAGGGCGCGAGAACTCCGCGCGGAGGAGAGCACGCTTCAGGGCACGGGACCCGCGAGGCGCTTACCCCTCCCCCTCCCCCTTGTCTGCTCCCCCTCCCCTCCCCCCTTCTGCCTCCTCCCTGTTCCTCCTCCGTCCTTCTCGGCCCCCCCCCCCGCGCCCTCCGTCCCCCGCCTCCTCCTCCTCCTCCCCTCCTCCTCCTCCTCCTCCTCCTCCTCTCCTCCTCCTCCTCCTCCTCCTCCTCCTCCTCCTCATGCTTCCACTCCACCTCCTTCCCCTCCCCCCCCTGCTCAATCCCTGTCCCTTTCCCTTTCCCTCCGGGGAGGGGGGATCTATAAGACCACCCTTCGGGTGATAAGGAGGTTGTGTGTGGAGGGGAAGAACCAACGCCTCACTCAATCGATCTCGCTATCGATCTCACTATCAATCACACAATCGATTGGTCGATCGATCGCACTACCGATCTCACTACCGATCTCCCTCGATCGATCGAAATCCCGATCTATCGATCTCACAATCGAATTCACTATCGATTGGCCAATCGATACCACTATCGATCTCACTATCGATCTCGCAATCGACCTTATGGGACACCACGGGACACAACGCCACGTGACACCACAGGACACCACGGGACACCGGCGGGACACACCCGGCCCACTGGCAATGTCGCCCTAACAACGGCGGGACACCCCCTGGGCCACCGCCGGCCAACCCGGGGGGTCGGTAGAGCCAGTGGACTCAATTTCGCCCTAGCAGTGGCGGGTGCATTCCTTTCGTCCACCCACGCAGCTTCGCATCGCCCGCACGCACGGGGCGGGCTGGCGGCTTCGCCTGGGATTGCCTTACTATGCATTATCTCACCTACTGGTGTGATCTGCTCTGGCACTGCACTATTGCGACCGACCGTCCGACCGCCCTTGCATCTGTCCTCGAAGAATGTCTTGTATTCCGCCCTGGATCTGTCCTGGAAGATGCACCACTCGTGGCATCTGGGATTCCGCCCTGGATCTGTCCTGGTGAACATGAGCCCGCCGCTGGAGCCAGCGTTGATGCGTTGATCCCGTCACAGCTGAACAGCCCAGAAATCCGAGACTCCGGAAAAATTAAAGCGGCGGGGTCTCGGGCGACCGCTGGGGACGATCCGGCCCCCCACCCTTCCCCGAAGGCCCTCGGCAGGGTGGTGCAGCCGCTGGACGGCATCCCGAGACTGAAAAACTGCTGATAACCCACGGAAGCGTCCAAGCCTCGAACTCCGAGCTTCGATGGGGCGCTGGCCCACCCTGAGCCTATCGCCCCCCCACCACCCCCCTTATCGTTAGGTCAGGCATGTCCCCCTACAGGCGGATTTTGGATGAAGTACCCCCAAAATGCCTCCAAATGCTTAAAACTGGTAGACAAATCGTCCCTTGACTATATTTTTGAATCTTCCTCCTGTAGAGGGACAGGCCCGACTTGAGCCTACCGCACCCCCCCCCATCGCTGCCTCTAACGGCCTCGGCGCCTCGGGATGGAGGCACAGTCTGGTGCGGAAGAAACACACCCCGTGGATTGGATCGGGGATGGAGTCCCGAAGCGGTGCGGTGACAGACCGTGCGGTGACCTAGAATTCCCCCAAGACCTCACCGCACGGTCCGTCAGCGCACGGTTTTGGGACCTCGCATGCCCCAGCCGCCCGAAACATCCTCGGAGGACGACCCGGGTTCCAAAACCGTGCGGTGACCCCGAATCCACACCGACTCACCGCACGGTGTGGTCACCACCCCGTTTGGGGGCCCCCGACTTGAGCAAAACGTGGTTTGGTTAAAACGACCTCGGGCCCAAACCTGGCGGGCGCAAACCTGGAAAATGACAGCCGCGGCGCTCTCTCGAGAACCGGAACAATTCACTAATCGACGTGTCATGATGGGGTTTCTGTCCACCCCCGACCGGAGCACGGCGAAGATCGAGGCGTCGACTACGCTGCCGACAGCAACGAACCAGCCGAGCCAGACGACGCTGTCGACCGAGAGAAGAACCAGCCGCCGAGCCACCGAAGACCCCCCCCGAGCCTCCGAAACCATCGAACACCGTCCCCCGAACCTCCGAGATGCCTCTCCGAAAACCTCCCCGAACCCGAAATTCGGTCTCTTTACAACCCACTTTACAACCAGCCTTCAGAAGCGCGCGCGCGCTGACGGGGATTCTGAAGTTTCTGAACGCTTGGGTGCTTTGCAGAGGCATCTAAGCGCCTGAGCGTTTTGCAAAGGCTTCTTAGCGCCTGCGCGCTTTGCAGAAGCATCTGAGCGTCTGAGCGCTTTGCAGAGGCATCTGAGCGCCTGAGCGCTCTGCAGAGGCTTATGAGCGCCTGAGCGCCCTGCAGAGGCCATGAACGCCTGAGCGCTCTGCCGAAGCTTCTGAACGCCCGAGCGCCTTGCAGAGGCCTCTGAGCGCCTGAGCGTTCTGCAAAGGCTTCTGAGCGCCTGAGCGCTCTGCAAAGGCTTCTGAACGCCTGAGCGCTCTGCACAGGCCGGCTTCTGGGCGCCTGGGCGCTTTGCAGAGGCTTCTGAACGCCTGGTCGTTTTGCAAGGGCTTCCGAGCGCCTGAGCGCCCCGAAGCCTCTGCAAAGCGAGAACAACAAGTGCTTGCGATGCAACAATACAACTTGAAAGCCGCATGCATTCGCTAGAATGTAACCAGCGATTTCTTCGTCACTTTCCGCCCTCCTGGGTACGCATGCTTCCGCAACTGCGCAAACATACGGTTTTGCGGTTGCCACGCGATGGGGCGCGAGGACAAACATGGCTTATTATGCAAGACGCATAGTTGGACATCCAAATGCACCGGCTAGGTTTTATAAAACGACTTCTTGGCCACATTTCTGCCCTCCTGGGTACGCATGCGTCCGCGAATGCGAAAAAATGCTGTTTTGCGATTGCCCGACGATGAAGCGCGAGGACGCAACTTGCTTGCGACGCCAAAAAACACAAAGTGGCATCTACAAGTGCTGGCCCGAGTGTGACCATCGAGTTCTTGGCCACGTTTACGCCTTCCTGGGCGCGCGTGCTCGCCATTGCGAAAACTGTACGTCTTCGCGGTTGCCAGACAACGAGGCGCGGGGGCACACATGGCGGATGACACAAAGCAGCAGCAAGCTGAAATCCACATGTATCGGCTAGAATTTAACCAGCGAGCTCGTTTCCACATGTCTGCCCTATTGGGCACGCGTGCGACCGCGAATGCGAAAACATGCGGTTTCGCTTTTGCCAAACAATGAGGCGCGAGGACGAAAAGTGTCTGTGAGGCCAAACCCTCCAAGTGGCATCCACATGTATCGCCTAGAACGTTACCATCGATTGCTTGGCCACATGACCGCCCTCCTGGGCACGCACGCTTCCGCAACTTATGGTAAACTCATGTTTTGTTTTTTCGCGATTGCCAGACGATGAGACGCGATGGTAAACATGGTTGGTGATGCAAAAAACAACCACTTGAACTCCACATGGATTGGCTAGAAAGGTATCATTGATTTCTTCGCCACCTTTCCGTTTATCTGGGTGCGCATGCTTCCACACATGTGAAAACATACGGTTGCGTCGTTGCCAGACGATGAGGCGCGATGGCAAAAAATGTCCATGAAACAAACATTGAATTCCGAGGTATTTGTTAGATGTGTACAAACCTGTTGGCCACAGTTCCGTTCTCCTGGGAGCGCGCGTTTTTCTTTGCGCGCGAACGCTTTCTGTTCTCTACGTCCAGACGACGCAGGACTTTCAGGCAGAGGTTATGCGGCCCAAAGAAATCTAGATTTAAGGCATGGATGAAAAAAAAAATGGAACAGCCCAGGCCTGCCACCAGCCTGCAGCGGAAGGATCTTTATTGGACCTCAACTCTGTTCCAATAGCTCTTTTTGGGTACCACAAGGAATACCAATAGTACGCCAATCGGGGCACAATATGAGTCAAAGAAGACAGGTTGTTGTTGACTGCTGGGTCCTAGTGGGATCCCAGTAGTATGCCCGTATGGATCGAAATGAAAGATCCGGATTTGATTTCAATGTGATCTCCTCCGTATTCCCCCATATGGTTCTGAAGGGATTCCAAGAAACACGGTTCCTACGGTTTTCGAATGAGAACCCACAAGAATACCCACCGGGTTTCCATTTAGTACCCCCAGTGCGTTTCCCGCAGCATTCCAATAGGAAGGTTTCTCGATTGTAATCATTGAGGTTTCCAATCGGTTTCCATTAGGCACGGCCCCAGCAGGCTTCGATAGAAAACATCCCTATCGGATTCCAATAGGACGTTCGTAGGGCCAATATCGAGGAAGATTGTTGGATATCAATGCGTTTCATCTCGTGCCAGCAGGATCCCCGTGGGAAGGGTGCCAACAGGAGTCCACTAGGATTTCCTTTGGATCCCATTAGGAATCCGCAACATCACAGATTCTCGCTTCAGACGGGTCACTTTACAACCAACACGCTTCAGAGAGCGAAGTGTCTCCCTTACGTGGGCCCACGGAGATTTCGGAAATTGAAGAACTTGTGTCGCTTGTTTGCGTTTACTCGCCTGGTTGTAAAGTGGCCTTCCTGGTTGTGAAGTGCCCTTCTGGGAAAACCCATGCTGGTTGTAAAGTGCCCCATCTGGTTGTAAAGTGGCCGCTCTGGTTGCAATGTGACCCACTCCTGGACCCGGGGGCCTTCCCCCATACCGATGCTTCGCACTGAGCCGTTTTTTTACAATTTCAGGGCCCGTGGAGTGGGGGAACCAAAAGATACCGATACCGCTACTCCCCGGACCTCTCCTGGGGCGCGTTCTGACCAGGATTTCGAGGCGAATCCAGCGGTGGCGACGAGGGCCTCCCAGGAGGCCCAAAGAGGGGAAAGCGGGCGAGGGGGTAGAGGTATGGGTGCCTTTTTATCCTCTGACGTGGAGGTCCCCAGGAGGCCAAGCGTGGGAAAACACGCCCCCCCCACCCACGCACAGAAAGACGCCTCCAGATCCGCTTTCCTCAGGGCCCGCTTCGTCGTGGCGATGCGGTGGACGCGGTCGGCTTCTCTGGCCATGCTTCTCGCTGGAGGGAGGGAGAGGGGGATAGGGAGAGAGGGAGAGAGAGAGAGGAAGAGAGAGAGAGGGAGAGAGGGAGAGAGAGAGAGGAAGAGAGAGAGAGAGAGAGGGAGAGAGGGAGAGAGAGAGAGAGAGAGATGAGCACCCGCGCCTCTTTGCACACCTTCACAGGGCGGTCCTCCTGCTCATGGAGGGCCGCGGCGTACTTGCTCGCGGCGTCCGGCATGCCGCCCTAGGGCCACAGCGGAGCTGAGATGGCTTGGCAGGGCGGGTGTGCGGTATGGGAGGCGAGGCAAGTGGAGTCGGCCGGGGAGCTGAGGTGGCCCACCACTGAGCCGAAGGTTTCTGCTCGCCACGTTCGGACCCTGGGAGTAGCTTTCGTGCACTGGGATCTTCAAGAACGGATCCAGGGAGACAGACTGCACCGAGTGGACCCCGAGAAAGGACTGGGAACCGCTTTCGAGTGGATGTTCCTTCCTACTCTCTCCTGATCCATCTGCTCGGGGCTATACCCAGCTCAGACCCTCTGGCCGCCTCCAACAAGACAATGGAACGCAGAGGATCGAGGTCACCTAACTTCACATAGGACCCAAGTCACCGAACTTCTCGCATCGCGCCCACGCGACGCGCCTCGTGCGATGAGCTTCGCGCCCTCGCGCGCCCCTGCGCCGCCCCCTTGGAGAGACACAGCCGGCTCTGGCACAGACCGCGGCGCGCGAGGCCACAACACCTTCGCGCCCCCGCGGGAGACCCAGGGGAGGCGGGGGAGACAGAGAGGATAGGCACCACGGAGAGGAGTGTTTCGGCGTACTCTCCGAGCCGAGGGGATGGGACGCTGAAGGACATGCTGCGATGCACCGACGTCGGAGGCGCACCTCCGACGAGAGCATGCGGTGTGGCCGGATGGCCAGAGAGCGCCCGCCACGGGGTCCTCTCCACGGGGAAGGCGTCGCCCTTGCGGGGCCGACGAGCATGCAGTACCAATGCGTCTGGGTGGTGCCGGGTGTACAATACGAAGGATTGCAAAAAAACCCTTCGAAGGGTTTTTTTGCAATCCTTCGTTCAAGATGAGGTGAACGCCACGCAACTGCTCGAGAAACGGGCTCGTGGATCGTGCTGCGAAAAAAATGCTCGAAGCGACGAGTATGTTCTTGTTGCGCGGATGCCCAGCGCCCGACGTTGGGCCCACGTCTGCACCACCGAAACAGAGCCACGCGACTTTTTGTTTTGTTTTTGTTTTCTTCCTCGGACCCCGAGGCATCATGCAACATTAAAGGGGAATTAGGACACACAAATAAATACACACAAATAAAAATATCCCCCATATTTTCTCATATTTTCTGGGTTTTTGTCTTCCCCACCACTTCCCATATTTTCCCATATTTTCCTGGGGATCGAGGATTAATTGTGTCTGTGTGTTTCTTTCCCTCCTGAAACATCAGGGGCAAGCTGGGTAGCGCGAGCACTACTTCCGCCACCAGCTAACCGAGCGCCCGAGGCTGCACCTGCTCCCTCGCGCGCACGAGCGTTCGCCGACAAAAAAGGCGTGGGCAGAGCAGACGAATGACTAGGAAGAGAACGAATTCGAGGAGGACGAGGAGACGGAGGAGGGGGGAGGAAGAGTCGATAGGGGGAAGCGGAGGAGGACTGGGAGGTTTGGGGGAGGTGCGGAATGAGAGCAACATTGCAGCTCGACGCACATGACTCCGGCGCGTGGAGCGTGGACCCCGAAACAGTGACTCTCTGCGTTCTATGGGATGCAATCCTTAAGATGCAATCCCGAAACATTTGGAGCACTGCTCAGAAAGCACAAGTAATTGAAAAGTCAAAGCGAGGCCTAGAAAACTGCACAAACTTTCCGGCAAAGTGGTTTCCCAGCGCTGCGCCAGCCATGCCAGCGTAGTATTTTGCAAGTGCAACAGAGTGGTATGAAACTGAACCAGCTTCGTGGAGGCTTCTGACCAAACGACGCCAAGGCTGGGAAAAAACGAATATCGATTACCATTGCCGCGGAGCCCACTCTGAACCCACACCCGCCCCGGGTCCCTCCACTATGCGCCCTGCGTGCGAACCCTGGCGGCCTGGCGTGTGTACCCAAAGGGTCGCCGGGCTCTCGAAAAAACATTCTTAGCACACTCGGCTCAAGTTGAATGAGAACGGCAACCAATGCCCGTAACATGATAATATTATGGTCCTGACTTGCGACCAGGACGCGGTACTGAGGAGGCAGCGATGCCCGCAAAGGGGTGCAGGTGGAGGCCTTTCAATGGGCAGCGGGTAACTAGACAAACGCGTCCCACTGCTCGCAAAAGAACTGCTAACCGATGGCCTGGATCCCACCCCACCGTGCGCCGCGCCACCGCCGCGGCGTGGCGGCAAAGGGCCTCGCGGTGTGACGCCCGCTGCCGGGGCGCCCTCCGCAGCTCCGCGCGGCGGGGCGGGCCGCCGCCGACCGCCGGGCGCCGGCGGCCCCGCGGGCGCGACGGGCCCCAGGGCCAGAGGCGCGAGGCCCTGCTCCACCACGGAGCGGACGTCGTCGGCCTCCATCCTCTGAGTGGGGTCGACCACCAGCATCCCGGTGAGCATCGCGCTGCAAGTGGGCAGCAGTGAGCGGAGCTCTGGGCGGCAACTCTTCTCCAGCATGTTGGCAACCGCGGCAGGCATCTGGAAGAAGGTCTGGATGCACTCGGTGAACGTTGTGTTTTCGCCCTCTGGCCGCACCTCTGGTTCTGCGTCCTTGATCGCGAGCTCCACCACACGCACCCCGCAGAATACCTCCGCGAGCACGACGCCCAGGCTCCAGATGTCCGCTGGGCAGGGGTCGTAGGCGGGACCATCTCGGAGCACCTCTGGGGCGGCGAAGGGCACGGTGCCACAGGGGTTCTGGCACATCTTGCTGCCGTCCTGGATGATGACTGAGAGGTCGAAGTCGGCCAGCTTGATGGTGATGGTCTCGGGCGTCTCATTCACGATGATATTTTCTGGCTTGATGTGTGTGAACTGGTTCATGGCGCGGTAACCGAACTCTGGGTTACCGTTCCCAACTCAAGCTCACGAGCTCACTGACGCCTCGGGTACCTTGTCGTATCTGTCCTTATTGAGATAGTAGCGTTGATCGCCTCCATGTCGTTCTTCGTCCGTAACCATGCCTGTACACGCTGTCTCCACTGCGTGGAGGTGCCACACTGCCTCGTCGCACTGCGAGGCGATCTTCACGACCCTGTCGAGGCTCAATGGTCGCTGCTTCTCCGGCTGAAGTGCTTGGCGGTGGTGCAGGCGGCGGTACATGTCCTCTGGGCCCCCGTACTCCAGTCGAAAGATGATGTGCGTCGGCGAGTGGCATGTCTGGTGAAGGCGAATAATGTTCGGGTGACGCGTCTTCTCGTCGCTCAGCATCTGCATCACGCGGATCGTGCGGTTGAGGTGCATCAGTTCTCTGATCTCCGTGATGGCCTCAGTGGACACCACCTTTGACAACCTAGACCCTGTTGCCCACCCTGGGCCTCTCCGTTAGCTTGTAGACAGACCCAAACATCCCCTGTCCGAGCTTCTTTTTTTTTACCCAGCGCACGATCTTCGTTTTGTCTTGGTTTCCCAGAGCAAAATGACACCACAGATGAGGAAAAATACGCGTCTCAAATGCACCTCAAAATCCCCTGTCCGAGCTTGTTCCCGATGATGTAGCCGGGAAGCTCCTGCGGCTCTCCGGGCTCAAGGTTGTGGTCGACCGGCGGGATCTCGGGCGCCAGGCGGGCCCTCACGTAGTCCCACAGGGTCGCGTGCGCGCAATGCTGCAAATACTCCGCGTACTGCGTCCGCGAGCGGGTCTCCGCGACCATTTCGGTCAGGTTCCGCGAGAGGCTCGCCGACTTGCGGATCATCGAGCGCACGGCCATGGAGAGTCGCAGCCCCGCTGGCTCGCCGCACACGATGCCGTCCAGGCCCTTGTGCAAGAGATCACCCACCAGCTCTGGTCTCACCAAGTCCGAGTTGTCCTGGCGTTGGGAACCAGGCGCAGCGGAGTGGGGCACCCAGAACATCGGCGGGGCGTCCTGGCTGCCCGTATCTATGTTCGTGATGATGTCGCAGAGCCTCTTGACCTCGTTGCAACTGTTCTGGTTGCAGAACACCAGGATGGTGTGCAGCTGGGCCGAGTCTTCCCCGCTGAGCAGGGGTGTACCTTCGCGTATGTCCGAGTCCCTGGAGATCACGTGCCAGACGTCCTGGAAGGCCTCCGGAGGCGCCAGGTTGCTGGTGCAGAAAATGCGGAGGCCTCCCTCGAAGTCGTCCTCGTTCAGGTCGCGCAGGCGGCTGTGAAGCCACGTCTGTGCGTGCCTCAAGTCGACTGGCGAAGACGCGGCGCCAGACTCGAGGGCGGCCATGCGCGCCGCGGTTCCCCCCCGCAGGGGGGGCGGCAACGGCCGCACCTCGTGCCTTGAGCCAAAATGGCTACGGAACAAAGCCAAGCAACCTTGGCAGTACAAGGACCAATCGAATATCGCCCTGCAGGGTCCTTGACGATGCGCCATGGTGCATGGACATCCACACGCGAAGGTCGATAAGTAGTGCGAAGCCAGTTCAAATGCAACCTGCAATCACACTCCAAACGACTGAACCTACGACTAAACAGCATAAACGACACTCTGGATCATTGATCGCATTTAGTGGTCCTCAGGAGGCCCGCGCGAGAGACCAAATGGGCCCCAAGAGGCTCTTCGATCTCTCAGGGAGACCCTCAGGAGGCCCCCACGACAGACCAAAGAGGCTCCAAGAGGCTCCCCACAGGCATCACAGACGCCCCAAGAGGCCCCAAGGACCACCAAGACCTCTCCTCCTCCTCCTCCTCCTCCTCCTCCTCCTGGTCGTCCTCCTCCTCCTCCATTTTTCCGTATAAGCAACTCCCTGTCGCACTCCGAGGCCGGTCGAAACGGCGGCCCAGGCGTTTCGCCTGAGACTCCTCACCATTTATGACCCTGAAGCCCCGAAAATTGGCAAGAATTTCGCAAATGGAAGGCGGGTGGTTTTCAAAATGTGGCTCTCGCATTACAGCCGCGCACATTCGTTTTCGCAAAATTGTAAAAGTTCCACTGGTTGAGGGCGGGCCATTTGAAACATGTGGCTCTCGCCGCAGCGCTGCGCACATGTCTGACATATTCAGAAACCAGTTGCAAGAACTTCACGGATTGAGGGCGGGTCGGTTTCAAAATGTGGCTCTCGCCTTGGCGCCGTGCACATTCGTTTGACAAGAATGTAATAGCGTCACGGATTGAGGGTGGTTCGTTTTCAATATGTGGCTCTCGCCTTAGCGCCGCGATTCCCGTGGTCAACGTACCAGAACCGGCGTTTTGGAAGGTTTCGGGATTGCAAGGGCACAGCAGTTACGTTGATTCGCGGTGTTGAAGTCCCAAGAGTGGTGGTCTGGCACGATTCAGGATCGTCACCACGCAACAGTCAGGTTCATCCATGGCGTTGGAGTCCCGACAATGATGTTCTGGTGTGCCTCTGTGTCGACTCCCACGGAGGCAGTTCACTCAGTGGAAATGAACCCTTGTAAGGGCCCGTGAAGAGGGAGCTTGGAGGGAGGGTTTATTCCAACATCGTTGATGAGTCTTGGGTTTACAGTGGTCCTCCTCGTCCTCCTCCACCTCCTCCTCCTCCTCATCCTACTATTTTTCCTCCTCTCTCATCCGGGGCACTATGATCTGATGCATGTCTAGACCCGCTGGGGAAAGCATAAGCAAAAAGTGACACATCCAGGGCCGCATGCAACCTCCTCCTTTCCCTCCTCCTCCTCCTCCTCCTTTTCCTCCACCTCCTCCTCTCCCTTTTCCTATTCCTCTTCGTCCTCTCGCATCCGAAGCACTATGACCTGATTGTTTTCTACACCAATAAAAAAACCATTGAAAGCATGGTGGTGCAGGAACCCCTATCCGATGACGTAACCGTGACAGGTCAACATGTGCCGAAGATGTTGAGCAATACGTGAGGTGGAGGTCGGATCCTTTTCACCTCAGGCCTGGGCGATCTTGATCACAAATGGCTTCAGTTAGCGCACGTGCATGCAACGCTTCATTACCCTCGCTCGGAACCCCTCGAATCTCTGCACGCCCCCTGAGGGCGACGTCGGAGGCTCTACGAGGCGGCTGATCAGACCGCACAGCGAGGAACAGTACACAACAGTCAAAAAAACCTGTTCTTGCACGCCACTGGCAAAACGTGCCACTGCGGTGTCGCTCAAGCCCTTCCGCTGGCGGTCCTCTCGACCCTCCAGCGGGATACCGCATCAGGCCGCTCACGTCACTCGGCCCAGGCACCCTGAGCTCTCTCCCCGAGTGGAACAAACCTCGGACTCTCTCGATACCAAGAGTAGGTCACCTGGCTCTGGCTCGAGATGGTCCTGCTCTCGACCTTCCCCTTCTTGGCCTTGGTGACCCTCTGGGGGAACTCAACCTTCTCCTTCATCTGCTTGCTCTCCTCGGTGCGGTTCGGCCTCGCGAAGTAGCCGACGCACCAGCCAGCGCAGCTGCCAACTGCGCATGCCACGATCACCATGAAGACCATGGCCATGATGAGCATCATGCCCTCGAGGTGCACGCCAGCCCCGAGGCGCGTGTCCTTCAAGATGATATCCTTCTTGTCCGTCTCGTAGCCGTAGATGTCGCACTCGCCGTCTGCCTTCCCGAGCCCAGGCAGTCCAGGCGAGCGACCAGGGCCGCGCCGACCCTCGCCATCTTGGACGTCGAGTCGCTCACGAGGTTGACCCGAACAGCCGTGCTCTCTTCCATGTCATCCGCGCCCGCCAACGGGCGCCGTCCCAACTGCGTCCTCAGCCAGTGGAACCTCTGACTTGTTAGCGGCTTGGTCCCCACGTCGACTAGGTTCGTCTCCCCAGCCTGCTTGACCACCACCAGCTTCTTGTCTCGCACCTTGGCTTGGAGCCACAGAGTGCGGACCTCCATATGGCGGACCCCCCCCGCTCCGATGCGACGCGGTGGCAGACCGCCTTCCCCGCAGCAGAGTCTATGCGGATCTGATATTCGCGTCCATGTCCAGGAACCCCATCACGCTCTGGAGGTGGATCGCCTCGGCAGCGGCCGTCACTGACGCGCAGTACTCCGCCTCCCCCGAGCTCAGCGCTTGGCTGATCTGGCCGCGCGAATACTCGAGGAGCGCGCAGCCGCCGCAGCACAACACCCCGCATGACACACTCTTTCTGCCGATGGAGTCTCCAACCCAATCCGAGCCGGCGTAGCACTCCAAGATATCTGCCTCTCCAGCTCTAGGGAAGAACAGCGCATAGTGACGAACTCCAAGTAGATACCTGCCGAGGTGCTTGAGCCTCTTCATGTCGTTGTCGGTGGGCGCAGCCAGCCTCTTGCTCAGCACGTGAACAGCGAACGTGACCTCGGTGACGTAATTTACCATGTACCTCGCGATGCCCACGCACTGTCGGTAGAGCCTGGTCTTCTCGGCGTTCAGAGGGTGCTCGCTGTCCTCCTTCAGCAGCTTCGTCACAATGGGCGTGGGCGAGCTCTTGGCCTTGCCAAGGTTCAGTAGCTCTATGATCTTGTCTGCGTACTTCTTGTTGCCAGTCAAGAACATGCCATCCTCAACTCTCACTCGCCCTCCTTTCAGATGCTGGTACTTCGCACCCGCCTTGAGTAACTTGCTCACCTTGATATTGACCTTACTGCCGAGCTCGGTCGTGAATGCCTGAAGCTTGATGTCGTCGGCGTCGCGTAGATGTCATCCTGGTGAAGCTCCAGGTCCACTGAATCCCGTTCTCGACGATAGAAGCATGGCTGGTCAGGACACTGCTCAAACTCCATCTCTGAGACGAGAGTACGGTTCATGCAGTCGCTGAAGCCTCTGCTCGCGTCCCTCTCGCCATAGAGCTTCTTCTTCATCCTCCACATCGTCCTCGTGGTGTTGCCCTTGAGTGCCTCAGCCTCGATTCACTCCCGAGGCGGTACAACTGCCACGAGCCTGTCTTGGTCCGCGTGGAAGTAGGCGTTGACGGCGTCAATGATGACGGTGGGCTGGTTCCGCTTCGCCGCTTTGAAACCTATGAGCTTGCCAGCCGTGGGTTCGCTGGCCGGCGTGAACAGCCCCTCGCGCTCGGGGTCCATGTTCTTGAACTCCCTGGCGACGAAGCGACAGCGAATCTCTTCGCCCTTCTCCTGGTACACCCACTTGATCGACAGCCTTGTCAGGCGACACAGCTTCGAACACATCGAACTCCTGCATCGTGTTGATCTCCTTGCACTTGCCTGCCTTGATGAGGTCAACGTCGTACTCGCCCTCGTGCCAGTCGATGTCCATCTCTGGATCCATGACGGGCATCGGGTCGATCTCGTCCATCACGAAGCCGTCGACGCCTCCAACGGTGCCCATCTCGATCTCTGGGACCTCTGACTCCCCAGTCGGCTGGGCAGGACGAGATGACGAGCTGTCGCCTGCTTCTTGCCTCGGTGTAGGGAGCCCCGCGTCCTCCATGCAGCCGCTGCCTGTCCTGCTCCTGGCACTCACGTAGCTGTGCCCGTCCTCGGCAACTCCCTTCTCAACCGTGGTGTCTGGAACCTTCTTCTCCTCCTTGGTGTCGTCGACCTCTGCCTCCTCCTGCTTCTTCTCAGGCGGGGCAGTCGGGAGAATGACCACCTCCTCGCCTTTCGGCCTTCCGATCTGGCCGATGCCTCGGTCCCAGGGGACCCCGACCATCTTGGCCACGAGCTCGAGGTCGCTCTGGTCTTCTTCTGGAAGCCTGTGCACCGTCCTTACCAGGTGCACCCCGCTGCACGTCCCCATGAGGAACTCGTCGCTCTCGTAGGTCTTGCCCAAGAAGATGCCCTTCTCCCACATCGGCTTTGACTTGCGACTGCGCCTGCCTCCAGTCCTATGGCCACTCGACGACATCGGATGCTTGAACATGGCGGCCTCTGCGAACTTCAAGATGACGCCGTGGTGCTTGGTGCCGGTCGCATCCTGATGAGGAGTCCGCCCATTCGACTTTATGTGGAACATCTCCGTGATGAAGCCCGCGTGTCTAACAAGCCACGGCCACAAAACATGACTCGGCTCTATCTTGATACCCAGCATCTTCTCTGTTGCTACTCTGATCGTCCTGGTCTGGCCCTGTAAGATCTTCTGCTGCGCCCCCACGGCCCCGAGCGACTGCGACGAGTACCTGGGGGTCTGCTCCACTGTGACCTTGTGGTTGTCGAACTTGAGCCTCTTGGCCGCCACCGCGTTCGCTATGCTGACGATGCTCGGCCCCCCGTCGCTCCTGAGCCTGAGCTGCGTGGCGCCTAGCCTCCTGAGGAAGCTCACGATCGAGGTCACCGTGTAGTCATGGTTGCCTCCTTTCTCTGGGAGGCTGAGCTGCAAAGGGACACCCGTGTCGCAGTCGATGACGGCCAGCGTGGTGGAGAAGCGGTTGGCCGCGTCCTCGGTCTCGTCGCCGTCGTCCTTTAAGAAATGGCAGTCTATCTGCACGACGGGCACCTCTGGCCCCTTGTCCGTGAGGAACTGGACTCCGCGATGAGGTGCAGCATCTCCCTTTCCGAACGCGCACTCCAGGCGCCAGGGCTCGAACTTCGCGTGGGTGAGCTCATGCTGCCTCACGGCCTCCGCGTCTGGCCTCTCTGGGATCTTTAGCGCCCTCGGCACTTCGGGATCGACGCCTTCCTGAAGTCGCCGTTGGCGCTCCTCGATGGCCTCCTTGACCTTCATCTTCTCGTCCAGCTGGTGCTCGCACTTGACGAGCCTCTCCCATAGCTGCTTCTTGGTGCCGTAGATGGCTGCATCAATGATCCCCAGCCTCCTCAGTTCCTTCAGGCGTGCCCTCAGCGCCTCGACCGACGACTGGGAGCCCAGGATCTCTCGTGGATGTCCTGCCTGTGGTGGTGCAGGTACAGCTTGAGGTTCTGGCGGTGGTGCGTGTGCAGCTTGAGGTTCTTGTGGCGGTGCAGGTGCAGCTTGAGGTTCTTGTGGCGGTGCTGGTGCATGCTCTTGCTCTTGAGCCGCTTGGTCGGCAACAGGTGCCACTCGATGTCCGTGAGCACCCGCCTCCAGCACACGGCACTTCGCGTGGAAGCTCTTCCCGAGAATCGTCAGGAGCATCTTCCTCTGGATGCCGTTCACGCTCGGCGGGGCCATGTAGCTGTTTCCCGTCCCAGGGTGAATGACGGCACCCCTCATGACCCTAATGCCACAGCTGAGCACAGGCTTTCTGAAGTCTCCGATGCGGAATCGGTTCGTGGTCATCACCTCGCGGTCCGTCTCGTCCAGGAACGCGATGCCGACGTTCCGCTCGCCGTAATCCTGGATCTCTTCGTTCGTGGCCGTCCTCAGCTCTACTCTGGCAGGGTCGTCGACGTCGTCGCTCGAGTGACCGAAGCCAAGGGGGCACCCGTCGGCATCCGACCCGCTGTCGATCGAGACCCACGCGTACTTGCTGCCGTCGTCGGTGGTGTTCACACTCTCGGTGACGCCCATGACCCGCAGCTCGTCCTCCTCGATGACTATCCTTTTGACTTCAGCGCTCTCTGGCGTCGACCTGCATTCCAAAGCCTTGTGGCCTTGCTTCCCGCATTTGTCGCACTTGATGTGTGACCTGCAGTCCTTGGTCTCGTGGCCCAGCTTCCCGCACTTGTCGCACTTCTTCTTCTTCTCTTGGCCGCCCTTGCCGCCCTTCTTATCCTTGGCCTCGCCCTTCGTCTGGTTCGCTGATCCACCCCCTGGGGCCCAGCAGTCTCTTGACCAATGGCCTCGCTTGCCACAGTCCTTGCAAGTGTCGCGATCCACGTCCCGACCTTTTCCAGCATCAATCCTCGCCTGCTTGCCGTACCCCTTGGGAGGTTTGAAGATGCCACCCGCGTCGCCATTCTCATTCACCAGCCCGACGTCCACCGGCATTGGCCCATCATTCGAGTACTGGATGCCGTGGGGCGCTCCTGTGGTCCCGTAGACCTTACCACTCGCGATGTATGTCTGTGACGACCTTGGCCAGCTTGTTGTAGTCCTGGCCGATCGACCACAGGGCCTGGCGGACCACGGCCATCATGTCCTCTGGAGCCCATCTGACCACGACAGCAATCCTCGTGCCATCCGTGACCTTCTCCAGGGACTGGGCCTCGTAGAGCGAGACACTCTTCTCCCACTCCTTCCAGGCCGCCTCCCACGTGCGGACGCCGCCTCTGATGGCCGTCTGCCACTCGGGACTCAGCACTCCCATGAGCATCGCCGTCAGCCTTCCACCAGACTTCGGCTCGTACTCCTCCTTCAGCCTTTTCCAGCCTATGGCACCGTTGTTCTTCGGCACCATCTGGAGAATCGTGGGGGCCTTGCCTCTCGTCGTGGCGATCAGCAAGTGGTACAGCACCTTCATCCTGAGCTGGACCCTCTCCGACTGCGCTGCCCAGCCTAGCTCTGTCTTTTCCGTGACCTCGCAGTGCGTCATGATCTGCTCTAGGTCGACGAGCCCTGCCGTCGACTCGAACACGAAGCACCACTGCCTCCATTCCTCATCAGCGCCCGAGAAGATCCCAATCCTGCTCAGGATCTTCGTGTCCACGATGCTCTCGAGCCGTTTGTCGTCGGTTCCCGCTTCTGGCCTCTGGGCGCCCTCGGTCAGCCTCTGGATCTGGGCCGCCTGCTCGCCAAGCACTCGCTGCAGCTCCTGTAGGGCCGCCTCCATCGCAGCCGCAGCTGCAGCTGATCACGCTCCTGCTACCATGTTGAGCAATACGTGAGGTGGAGGTCGGATCCTTTTCACCTCAGGCCTGGGCGATCTTGATCACAAATGGCTTCAGATAGCGCACGCGCATGCAACGCTTCATTACCCTCGCTCGGAACCCCTCGAATCGCTGCAGAAGAAAAACCCAAGAAGACCACCATTCAGCCGAAACGGCGCCAGGCAGACCTGTTCAACTTGCTGTTCAACGACTTCTGCAGCAAATGGTCTGGCTCTCCCCGCGCCCCCGAAAAGCATCCAAGGCGGCTGTCGCATCTTATGCTCCTACGCTGCCCTCATCAAGGCAACTCACCTGGCGATCACATCTTGATAGGCTGGTGGGGATACTTTTTTAGTCGCGGCCGCAGGCGAGAGCGCAAGCGGCGAGATGAAAGTCCGGGGCGCGGGCCTACTAATTGACAACAGGAGCAAACTAGAGCCGCGCACCTAAACTGCCTAAGCTGCCTAAGCGGCGCCTCAAGTGAGCTGCAAGCTGCACTGAGTGTGGATGCCAGGGCCAGGGGCAGAAAGCGCACACACAGCGTCCATGCACGGCGGTGGCTGCCAGGGTGGCTGCACTGCCAGGGGTGCACGCATGCAGCGAGCTGCAGGGGGTGGCGAACTGCCAGGGTGGCCGGCGCTGGTGGGGATACGCGAAGCGTCAAGAGTTGGACAAACTACAACAGAAGTCGATGAACGCGGAACGATTACTGGCGCATGTCCTTCAAGTCGGCCCCTCTGACTTGGGCGGGCCCTTGGGGGAAGGGTATAAGCGCTTCTGAATGATTGACTGATTCTGGATCCCTGTCGGGGTGGGACCCTCACAACAGGGGGCTATGTGCCTGGGGTCGATTGTCGCTGGGGGGAGGGGGAGGAGGAGGAGGGGGGGGAAGGGGGAGGGAAGGAGGGAGGGGAGGAAGGCAAAACAGATGCAGGAGGGATTGGGGAAGGGAGGGAGGAGGGAGGGGGATTGGGGAAGGGACAGGACGCCAGAGACGAGGAGCTGGGAAACAAAAAAACAGGAGGAAGGCAAAACGCAAACGACAGAGTGCCCCCTCCCCTAAGACGCAAAAAAACAAAAATCACGACCGAAGCACGTAAGCCCCTGTAGCATCTCTCTGGCTGGATGGATCTGCGAGGCCCCCAGGCCCGGAAACCATGCGAACACGCCCTATGTGAAACACACATGTTTCGTCGGCGGCGAGGCTGAGGCAGTCCGCTCCAGCGGGAGGCGAATCGGGACAGCCCAAATGCGAATTGTCCTGCGTGCAGGTGGACATGTGTGAAGACATTGCAACGCCTTAGAGCATCAGGGTCCCCATAGCCTATATGCCCCGCTCTCGCCGCCGAAGGCGGTGGCAGGAGGCGGGGGAGCAGCACCAGCAGGCTCGCTTTGAGCACCCGCCCGCGAGCCCCGAGCAGGCGTGCTCGCTGCACCTCCGACCCACGCGGCGTGCTTGGGCCAGGAAGCACCACGCCGACTCACGAAGTCATCGCATTTAACATGCATCACATCAAAGACAAAACAGCTTTCTCGGGTCGGGCGAAAGGGGGGGATGGCAAAGGGGGGGTGAGAATCAGCTCACGTAGCTGATTTTCCCGGCGCCTCCTGGCGCCGGAGGCGGCTATGTATCGAGGAATGGGCCCCTCGGTGGGGCCGAAACCAGCTGCATGCAGCAACTTTTCGTAACCCCCCCTTTCCCAATCCCCCCCTTTCGCCCGACCCGACTTCCGTCAGAAAAAACCGCCGCCTCGCCCTTCCTCCTGCCGAGGACCTGCTGCCCCAAGTCCTGAGCTGGGGCGCGAGAGGAGGATCCACATATAGAGGACAGAGAACTGTGCACATACACCGACTCTGGCCAGGCCCATCCTGAGCCCAGGATCGGTGCATGCGCCCTCCTACCTTGGCCAGGAAGGCATATGCACCGATCCTGGGTCAAGGATGGGCCTTGCCAGGATCGGTGCATATGCATAGTTCTCTTCGCCCGAACATAGCGCAAAGCCCCAGACGAGGTCGACGCCGACCCGCTCAACAGCTGGGCCGGGAGAGGCCCCGAAAGGTCCCCCTGGGGGCTGCGGGCCGCAGCCCCTGGCCCCTGCGGACGCGCAGCAGAGCGCCCTGAGAGAGGCAGAGGCGAAGAGGCGGAGGGTCGAGGAGTACTCCAGATTTCGTAATAAAGGGAAGGGGGTCTCATTTCGGGGGGAGTCTCTTCTAGGCTATCTTGGAGGGCCTGGGGGGGTCTGGGGACGATGTTTTGGAGGGTTCTCCCACGGGGGGGGGTCTGAAATGGCTTGTCTTGGAGGGTCCAGACCCCCTCCCTTTTATTACGAAATCTGGAGTACAAGGTCGGCGATATGTGGGGGGCCGGGGTTACAGCACGGCCATGTGCACCGTAGTGTGATCTCTACCAGTGATCGTGGCCATCTGGGCCAAAACTGCAGCTGGCACTGAGGCGAAAGAGAA